TATATATACATATATATTTATATATACATATATATATATATATATATGTATATATATATGTATATGTATATGTATATATATGTGTATATATATATACTCATATTATTTCTCCTCCTACCTAAGAAATTAATTTCATCTTCACATATTCATTAAAGAAAAAATAGATTAAATATCTATAAAAAGATAAGTCAAATTGGTTATTGACTCTCGAAAATGTTTCTTGAAAAAGAATGATTCATTTTGAATATGATTATTGTAATATATCTTTGGGGATTATATAAACCTCATATGTTATTGGGTCATAAAATAGATAGAGTTTCTGTAAAGAGTTTCTTGAGAAAAATATAGAAGATAGAAGCTTATCCTACTCTTTCTCTATTTGATAACTTTATCCCTTCTTCCTATCAAGATCAACATTTGGTATCAAAGAATAAGTTAAGCTATCGTATCTTCCCCAAATATCATAAAAATTCAAATTCCTAAGTTGACAAAAGAAAATTATGATATATAGTGTATTTAAATGAAGGTTCTTTAGGCTCCCAAGATGTAGGAAAGTTTACAGAAGATGGATATGTTGAACCAAGTCTAGCGAAAAAAGGAGCAACGAATACAGAAGCAAGAAAGCAACTCAAAGATAGAAGAAAGAAGAAGAAACATATTTTATTCATGATCTACCAAGGACTTAATGATACAATGTTCAAAATCATCGTTCCAGCAAATACTTCAAAGGAGGCTTGGGAAATACTTCAAAAAGCATTCGGTGGTGTTGATAAGGTAAAGAAGCTTCGTTTACAAGTTTCACAAGCTGAGTTTAAATAATTACAATAAGGTACTTCTGAAACTATTTCCTATTAATTCTCAAAAATCATTTCTATTATTTGAGACGAAATAGTAAACAAATAAGTGATCAAAGAGTAATAGAAAAAATATTGAGATATTTAGATCCAAATTTTGATTTTAATATTATTGCGATTGAAGAATCTAAAGATTTGAAACAAATATCTTTAGAAGAACTTATGAGTTCCCTTCAAGTTCATGAACAAAGGATTACAAAAAGAGAAGAAGACAAAACTATGGAGCAAGCACTACAAACTAAGCTTACTCTTGAAAATAAAAGTGAATCAAATTCTCAAAGAGGAAGAGGACATGGACAAAGAGGAAGAGGAGGCACAAACAGACCAATCAAGAATCTCCAAACAATGAAGATTGTGGAGAAAATTCTAGCTAAAGAGGCCAAGGTTATGATCGAGGACGTGAATGTGACAAAAACTCTAAAAAGTTTGAAATACAATACTATATTTGTAAAAGATATGAACATTACTCTCATAAATGTTATTATAATCCGAACAATTAAGATGATAAGGCAAATTTTTGAGGAAGAAAAGAATGAAAATCAAGTTTTGCTAATGGCTTATGATAATTTGAAAGATGATCAATCTATGACGTGGTATCTAGATACATGAGCTTCAAATCACATGTGTGATATCAAAGAGCTATTTTCAGAAATGGATACAAGTTATTCCGGGAACATTACATTTAGTGATTTATCTCAAAGACCAATAAGAGTTAAAGGTAAAATTCCTCTTGAACTTAATAATGGCAAAGAATTATGCATTTCGGATGTTTATTATATTCCTGATATAACAAATAATATTCTAAGATTGGAATAATTACTTGAAAAAGTTTATGATATTGAGATGAAAGATATAACTCTCTCGATTCGTGACAATAATAAAATATTGATATCACATGTGAAAAAAATAAAGAATAGAATATTTCCTCTACATTTATGTATTTTTGATTAGTTAAATTATTTTAAAACTGATATTGAGAATATTTCTACACTATGACATCTTAGATATGCTCACTTAAGTTTTGAAACTTTGAAACTTTTAGAGAAGTATAATATGGTGATAGAAATGTCAAGAATTGATCGCCCATCAAAATTATGTGAAGTTTGTATCATGGGTAATCAAGAAAGAAAGTCTTTCAAAGTCAAAAGAACAAAAAGAGCATAGCATCGACTTGATCTTATACACTTAGATGTTTGTGGCCCTATCGGTCCAGTATCACTTGAAAGAAGTAGATATTTTCTTACCTTCAATAATGATCATAGTGGTAAAACTTGGGTTTACATGTTAAAAGAAAAGAAAGATGTTTTAAGCAAATTCAAAGGATTTAAAGATTTTGTTGAAATATAAAGTTATTGTAAGATTAAATATTTAAGAATAGATAGGAATGATGAATATATATCAAATGAATTTGAAAGTTTTTATATAAATAATAAAATTCTATTTCAATTCACCATGTCATATACACCTCAACAAAATGGTGTCTCATAAAGAAAAAATAGGACTATCCTTAATATGGTCCATACATGTTAAAGGAAAGAAAAATTCCTAAAGAATTTTGGGGAGATGTTGTTACTTATATAGTTTATTTGCTTAAAAGTTTTCCGACAAAGTGAATTAGTAATGTTACACCAGAAGAAGTATAGAGCTTACAAAAATCAAGAGTTGATCATTTGAGAATTTTTGGCAGTGTTGCATTTGCCAAGATACCAAAAGAAAAGAGAACAAAATTGAAGGATAAAAGTCAAAAATGCATTTTGCTAGGTTATCTAGAGAATTCCAATGGTTACAAACTCTACAATCCTATCACAAATAAAGTTGTGATGTCAAGAGATATTGAGTTTGATGAACAACAGATTTGGAACATGAAAAGTGATGAGCAGCATAAGAAAACTTTAACTTCAGAAGAGGATGATATAATACAAGCAAGCATTGAAGTGATTTTGCTGGAATCATCACCTAGATCACATGATTTAAGAAGTTGGATTATAATAAGGACAAGACCGATTCAGGAGCTATATGATATGACTCGAAGGATTGATACTAATAATGATGAACTTTCTTTATTTTATCTTTTTGCAGAATATGATCCATTAACATTTGAAGAAGTTTGTAGAGAAGAAAAATGACGACAAGCTATGAATGAAAAGATTAATGTTATTAACAAAAATGATACATAGAAGCTTACTATACTTTCAGAAGGCCACCAAGCGATCGGTGTTAAGTGGATCTTCAAAACAAAAAGAAATACAAAATGAGAGGGAGAAAAACAAGGCCTGATTGGTTGTAAAGATCCGTAAACAACAATATGGGATTGACTATGAAGAAGTATTTGCACTAGTTTCTCGAATGGAGATAGTAAAATTACTTATTTCTCTAATAACACAAATGAAATGAAAAATTTTATAAATTGATGTCAAATTAGTATTTCTTAATTGAGTTATTGAAGAAGAGGTATATATTCAACAATCCCCTGGTTTTATTATACATAAACAAGAAGACAAAGTATATAAGTTAAAAAGAGCTTTTTATGTGCTTAAACAAGCTATAGTAGCATGATATTCTCGAATAGATATATATTTTATTTAAAATAGTTTTTCTAAATGTTCACATGAATATGCTCTTTATAGAAATCTAATCTGATAGAGATATCTTATTTGTATGCCTATATGTAGATGATTTAATATTTATAGGTAATAGTAGTTCTATGATTAAAGATTTTAAGCACTCTATGAAAAAAGAGTTTGAGATGATCGACTTAGGCTTAATGACTTATTTCCTTGATATTAAAGTTATATAAGATAATTAAGAAATTTTTATCTCATAAGAAAATTATGCAAAGGATGTTCTAAAGGAGTTTTCTATGAAAGATTGTCATATTATAGATATATTTGTTGAATATGGCACCAAGTTGACCAAGGAAGGTGAAGGTAAATATATTAATCCAACTTATTATAAAAGTCTAATTGGATGTTTAAGGTATTTGATATTCACTCTATCTGATATACTATTTGGAATTAGTTTAATAAGTAGATATATGGAAGCTCCTAAAAATCTCATTTAAATGTTGCTAAAAGAATTTTATGACATATTAAAAGAATAATTGAGTATAAAATATTATATTCATTATCTAAAAAGTTGGAACTCATTAGATATCGTGATAATGATTGGGCCAGAAGCTATGATGATCGAAAAAAATATAATTGGATTTATATTTTATTTTAGTAAAGCTACATTCACTTGGTCTTAAAAAAAACAACAGATCATTGCTTTATCAAGTTGTGAAGCAGAATATATAACAGCTTCTTCTAGTGTTTGCCATGCAATCTGGCTAAGAAGATTACTCTAAAAATTTCATATTCCATAGGAGAAGTTAACAAAGATTTATGTTGATAACAAATCAGCTATTGCCTTAGCCAAGAATCCAGTCTACCATAAAAGATCGTAACATATTGATACAAGATTTTATTTCATTAGAGATTATAAAAAAAATAAAGAAGTTGAGCTACATCATGTCAAGACAAGTGAACAAGTGACTGATATACTTACAAAACCTTTTAAATTTAAAATATTTTAACAACTTTGAAAGAAATTTAACATGCTTAAATGGAACAAGTTTAAGGGGGGAGAATGTTGGAATTAAATATATTGAAGTGTCATAAAAATATGTATTTCATCAAAAGAAATGTTCATTGCAAGGGAGATTCATTATATCAAGAAGAAAAAATAGATTAAGGACAAGTCAAATTAGTTATTGGTTCTTGAAAAAGTTTTATTGAAAGAGAATGATTTATTTTGAACATAATTAATGTAATATATCTTTGAGAATTATATAAACCCCATATGTTGAGTCATGAAACAGATAAAGTTTTTAAAATTATAAAAATTAATTGAAAGAAATATAGAAGATAGAAGCTTATCCACTCTTCTTCTCATTAATAACTTTATCCCTTCTTCCTAGTTCAATTGAGAAAGTTACATAGATCATATTTCTTGTTCCTCTCTCCCTATGTAAAAACTATGAAGAAAGAAAGATCATATATAAGTATATTTTTTTAAATAATAATAATAAGATACTATTTGCCCAAGATCAAATCAAATATTAACTCATAATATATATGTTGACTGGATGATTGTTTCTTCTAGTACCTAAGAAACCATTTCAACTGAAGAAAGATACATGAATCGTATTTTCCTACTTCTCTCTCATTATATAAATTTTATGAAAAAAGAATGATCATATGAGTATAATCTTTTTTTGAATAATAATAATAATAATAAGATACTATTAGTCCAAGATCGAACTAAATAGAAGAAAAAAAAAACCAAGACAAAAAAAAGTAAATTTCTCAAATAAAAACTTATAAATATTGAATGACTCCTAGATTTAACTTAATTACTTGATAATTTTTTTATAATTAATCAACACATGCAAATATTATTTATTTATAGATGAGAAATACAAGAGTCCTTGATCCCTACAACTCTATCTAATTTTATTTAAAAGATAAGATATTAATTTAAAATATTTCAAAATATGTTTTTAAACTAAGAATTCTTTATCTCTAAAACTCTATCTAATCTCATTTAAAAATAAAATATTAATTTATGATCTTTCAAAAATATACTTTTAACTTCTTAACACAAACAAAAGAAGTCTCTTGTTTTCTCTTCTCTTCTACTTGTACTCTGTTCTCCTAATTATTCCCTTCTTATGGCTCCATATGTTGTTATTCCCCAAAAACCTTTCTTCCTTGCCTTATTTAATCTCCTTGTAAATAATAAATTGTATTCTTTATTGATATCTGTCATTGATCTTTGAATGATTAGTTATTATGTTATGACAAATACTGAGACAAATAATTTATTCTGAAAACAACTGAGCACCAATTGTGTTTTGTGCCCATGATTCAAGCCATCAGTTCAAAGTATTTTTTGGGTGCCTGTGGATGGAACAACTTATTTTTGGGTACCGTTGCATCGAATTGGATGGGCCCAAATCATCGGCCCAAAGTATTTAAATCCAATATGATAAGTTAATTCTAATTATCCCTCCATATCTCCATTAGCAGTGAGAATCGCCCGATCAGAAGCACTCCTCGTCTTCCTGTCCCGATTAGGCCGAGGTCTCAGCCTCCGGCTACAGCACCACCACCGCCACCATCATCTTGTCGAGAAGCCTCGAGCGTAATCTTATTCCACCTCTTCTCCCCCTGCCTCAGCGTACGAGAAAGAAACAGAGAAAGCTAGGATAGAAGAGACGGAGCCTTCTCGATTACCGAAGCTAGAAGACACAGAGGAGAAGCTTGAACTGGACACGCGAACATCTCAACAACAAGCCATGCCATGAACCGGATCCAAGGCTTAGAGCTAAGAGGAACTAAGAGAGATCAAGCACCTTAGTTTCGCACATGCGAACATATCCACCGGATCTGAGTGATCTCTCGCTAACTCAAATGCAGAGCACCTGCGATCTCCACTATCAGAGAAGATGCATTCTTTGATGGCAAGCGAGTCATCTTAAAGGAAGAGATCGAGGAAGCGTTTGCTCGATTGGTATCTAAGATAGGCGCTGCCGATTCGGATAGGCCGATAGCTTCTTTCCGTCCTTATGGTAAGTGTTGGGGGTAAAAACAAGCGATAAGGATAACAAGTCATCATGTTTGAAATGGTTCTACCCCTTCGTGTACGATTGTGGTCGAATCCATTCTCGAGGATAAGATCGGGATTCCTTTTTTGCAATGGCACGACCGTAAAGAGATTTAGGATTATGGTTGAATCCATTCATAAGGCCGAGATTCCTTCTTTGCGGAGGCACGACCGTAAAGAGATTGATGTGCAGAGCGTCAACACCTCGGCCATCGATGAAGGTTCGTTCAGTGATTGGAACCACAAGAAGACGGTTTTTATCGCCGGCCAGCATCGACAACAATGTGCAGAGCATCAACACCTCGGCCATCGATGAAGGCTCGTGCAGTGTCTGCAGAGGAGTCCCTATCAACCGGAATAATTGCTCACAATATCTTCTCCTGTCTGCAGAGCCGCGACGGAGAGGGAACAGTAAAAGTGTAGGGAGAAGAAGATATTTTTGCTGCTTGGCGTCAACCATTAGATATCTCGTCTACGTCAGCTACTCCTGTAGCGATGACGTGGCCTTCACTTTTGCCATCTCCTTGGTTGCCCTTTCTCTATCATATATCCCCAAAACAAGCATCCCTTCTTCTGCTTGGGTCTCGGCCTCGTCCTTCCGGTCCTCGGTACCGGCCACTTGACCTCTTCCCTGCGGCGGCGCACCTTCGCCTATGTCTCGCCCTAGGCGCGGACAGGGTAAAATTTGCTTCTTGGCGGTCTGGGTGCTTTTGTGTTCTTCGTTTCCGTTCATTTAGTTCTGTTGATCCTGTGTGGATTGAGGGCTTTTAGGTTTTACTTCTTTGCTGATCTATTATTTTCTTGAGATTCCGTTCTTGATTAGGGAGTTGGATCTCTGCTTCTATATTTGATACCGTGAATGTGACGAGGCATCTTAGTACTCGGGCTGGTTTTCTCCCAAATCAGGAATGGAATAGATTTTGTTGGAAGATGTAGTCTTTTAGGGTTTTTTTAATCTTTTGTTGGAAGAATTGATTTTAAGGTAAGGAAGAATATGATTCTTGCTTCTTTTTTTAGACGAAACAAGTAGGAGTAACCTTTACAGGAATTTGATCTGTTTACTGGATATTGAGGATCAAGTGTTGCAGATCTGGAAAAATTAGCGGAACTTAAAGCATTAGTTATACCACACTGAAGGAATGTTGGGAACTCATGCTGTACTTGATCTGATTGAGGGAGCGCTTGCTCGGGAGAAGTTAATAGACTAGTTTACTTTGGAGCAGACTGAAGCAAAACATTTTTCATGATGTTCCTGTTAGTCGATTCTCTGTCTTCTGGGCTAAGCATATGAATCCTGACAATTGGTTTGTTCTTGAGAAGATTGAGAGAAAAGTATATCTTGACACATATCCATTCAGTTTAATAGCCAGCAGAGTGGACTCGGAGTTAGCAAACTATGCTTTCCCAGTTACTGAGGCTTGGTTGCTTGAATCTTGCATCTATTCTTGTATTTATTTAATTTTGTCCATGACATCTTGTCCCGTAAAACCTATGAAGGGTGTAAAAGAAGATGAAACAGATGGTAAGCCTGTTTAGAGTGGGTGCCCTTCTTGCCCTCTTGAATGCCCGTTAAGCTCTTTCTTTCAATGAAAAAAGGTTCTTCTAGCCATTTCTATGATACTACTGTCTTAGCTTTGAGCATTCTGGTAAGTTCGTGGTTCTATATGTGGTTGTTTAAAGTGAAAATGAGATTTCTTAACTTCCCCAGGTTATCTGATCCTTCGTTTTTTCTTAGGACCCTATTGAATTTGTAATAACCAATGATTTTTTTTCTCCCTTAACATAAATTAAATTATCATAAATAATGTGTTGCTTTATTTAAAATTTTAATTTCCTTGTTTGTGCAGTATGATTAAGGAAATGATTAAGCAAAATATAAATAAATAAAAATAACTTCCTTTGGGGATTAACGAGTTGTCAGATGCAATGGTTAGGTGGTTCCTCCACCCATTGTTAGGAGGAACATGTCTCCACTTGGGTGAGTGCAGGATACCATTCCATCCGTTGTTGGGAGTGTGATATGAGTTCTTTCCATCCTCTGTTAAGAGGAATTCATCCCGTAGAGTATGCCTCCCTATTCGTTGTTGGGAGAGTGCACCATCGGGTGTGATGTACACTTTTGTTATCTGACTGTTATGTATGTCATCGAGATGTGTTTCATATGACTGATGCATGATTTTATTTATTGTATAAGAATTATCCTTATTTTTTTAATACATGAATTTCATAATAAATTGATATAGTATCATGTCATATTAAATTATTGACATTTGTATATGTTTCACGAATATTGAAGATTATTTTATGATTTTTCGAAAGTTTTTATCAATATGTGCGATTGCTAATGTGTTTTTATCCTATATTTATTTTCAAAGTAATTTACTACTTCGTAATAAGTCTGAGGTTTGGGTGGAGGAAACTTTTTCATCACTTATGACCCAAGATATGATTCTTTTTGCAATTAAAAAAATATTTAGTGTTGTAACGATAGGGATTTGAATTTAAAGATAAAAAAAGAGAGTCTTCTATAAATTATGAATAACGAAATAATGATTTTTTTTTATAAATCTGGGATGTGAAAGAATTAATGTTGGAACTGACATTGGATTATGGCTCCTTTTGTTTGAACAACAGGTTGTGTTCTGAATGCTGCATTGTGAAATGTCATGTCAGAGAATGCTATAGAAAGTTATGCAACCAGTAAAGATTTAAATATTGGATCAGTAATGCAAATGGTATAGTATCTGTTTACCAGTACTGTTCGTATAGGATGGCTCATTAGAAGTGAGCAAGCGTCATGTCAAACCCTCACTGCCTTAAGCACTACGATCTTTCTTATGCAAGCAATAAAGAAGACCGTGTAATATAAGAGGGGTACTTGAGAGTTTAAAATTACCAAATCTCTCAAGGTTCAACTGTTTAGCATGGATATAAGTGAAGGAAGAACATTTGGATGCAGGAATGTATGCAGTTCTGATCTTAATGATTTAGGCCTTACAACACATGTTCCCAAGTCATCTGAATTTATGGGAGCTGAAAAGATTGGAAGCTATATGAAAAATTCTGTGTTGCAGAAAGATGTAAAATCATATGATGAAGTGGTAATTCCAGATAAATCATATCTTCATAGACATCAAGATTCTTCTATAAACTGGGAAAACTACAAGGCATGCCATTGTCCAGATTCAGAAGGTATTACATCAGAGCAAAATCACATTCCTATTGATGGCATAAATAAAAAGATAAAGAGTAATTTGAATCAGAGACAAGGGCCTGGTCATGATCAAGTGGTTAATAGAACAAATGAGTCACAGATGCCACTAAAAAAAACAGCATTGAGTTCCCATCTGACAGCCTTTGCAGCAGGAGGGATTTGTTTTGAAGCAAGAAGGATGACAAAAATTAGTGCTCAAGAGATCAAATCTTCTGAATCTATTCAAGGCTCACAACCTATCCAAGATGAGTTTACTGTCTTGGCTTCTCATTCAGCAAGAAACAATTTTACGAATTCTCCTATTTACATCAAAGATAAAAGAGTTTCTTCAGTATCTGATCACATGATTGAGGAGCATTTGGAAAAAGCTAGGCTTGCTAACTTGAAGCATGAGTTGCACAATTTTACTAGGCCATCGAGAGTGACAGTCTCCGAAATGAAAGATGAAAATGAAATTGCTAATAGTGAAAGGTGTTCATGGCCCAAGATAAATCATAGATCCTTGCAGAAACCAGGAGATTCATGGCCAGGCGATTTTCCTCATCCATCTACAGACAGAGATAATAATACTGTGAGTATGCCTGCTACTCATTAAACAAAACGTCCAACTGCTTTATTCATAATGTTGGAAGATTGGAAATACATAACAGTATGGATCCTGTAAATAATACACATGTAACACCACAAATCCCTTATATTTCTCATCGTCATTGGTTAACAACTAAGGATATGTGCATGAATGTCTTGCAAGGAGAACAGCTGATTGTCGATTCAACAGAAACTGGAAAAGCAAAAGGTACCGCCTTGTTTGAAATGATAACAGGCCCAACAACATCAAAGTGCCATGGAAAACAATCAGGAGATTCACTACTTTTGATTAACTCAAATGGTATCAGAGATGGAGATGATGGAGTTGGAAATGGAAAAGGAAATGGGAGACATACAACTGCAACAAGAAAAGAATCATCAGCTAAAACTGAGACAATGGACATTGAGGTTTGCCAGACAAGAAGCTCTCTAATAGGTAGATGTTTATTGATAATAACATTTAAAGTTTTAAAATATGATGAAAATTCCTATATATCTTAGTAAGTAGCATCAAACTATCTGCAATTTTGAGCAGGTGCTATAGGGTGTAGAATGACTCTATTGGAAGCACTGTAAAAAGAACATGTTCCTTCCTAATTATTAATTCGTGGTTCATGTTTTGCAGGCATGATTGCTGACAGACAACGGAAGGTACAATTACATGCATATTAAAAAAAATTAATGTTTACATGAAATGCATAAAGTAAGCCCTTAGAAATTTTGGAGTTTGCAAAAGTTTATATTTATTAAATAGTTTACAAGTGATGTGATAGCCCTAGTCAATCAACTTGGCTGAACATATCGTTTGTGTGCAAGCATGATTCTCTTTATTCCATGTACTAGAAATGGTTGACAATATATGTGAACATGTTCTTTATTCCATGTACTAGAAATTTTGGAGTTTGCAAAAGTTTATATTTATGGAACATGTTCTTTATTCCATGTACTGAACCTTCTTGAGCCATTGAAGTTATGTGAAGATGATTTTTGTTGCTGTTTGGATTTTCAACTACCTTAAGTGTCAATATATGTGTTTTTTCATTTTGTTCCTATTTCTTTGTAACAATCATGATTGTCTTGATGTTGCCTTTACACAGCAGCTGAATTCTCTCTCCCTCTCTCTCTTATTTTTAAGTAAGATGGTTGAGGAGCCCCCTTGAAGTTGTGCACGAGAACAAGATAATTGTGCATTTTAGGTTAGGAGGATGAAGCATATAAATCTACTTATGAGGATTGGCTTGAAAGATATCTGTTGACTCCTGTTGACAATAGGGTATTGATGTTGTGGCAACAAAAGAATTATTCGTTCCACTGTAAAAGTTCTATCTAAGACACTAACAAAGACTGGTTCTCTTTGACAGTTGATCAGATCATTGTTTAGGTTTTGCTATCAGACTGACTTGCGAAAGTATTGACAATCTTTGAACTTTGTAGGGAATAAGAGTCCACTGTTGGATAGTTTACAATGGAAGGCTGCAACATTCAGTCATAAAATCCTAACTTCTTGCTAACTTAAAGCCTATAAATAAGTTACAAATTCAGATAGTTTTGGTTGAAATTATTAACTGAAAATCGATGAATACAAATTACATAAGGTTATCAATGGTCTGCCATTGTTACTAGGATGATGTAGTAAACGTGCCAAAGAAGTGTGATCATCATGCAGAGAGAAAGTTTACAAGTATGGCATCATGGATGAACTTGTATGTATATTGTATCATAGCTTTTTTTGGCCTATGCATGTTTATTTAAATAGGAGTATGCATATGTAATTTTAATAAGAATGCCTTCAAGAACAATGAGACTGTCAAACAGTGAAAGAGGATATAAAATGAGAGCGTAGCAGGGTATACAGTTTAAGTTATATTCATATGAAGAGACTAGAAGTTGTAGGACCAAATTATTTTGGTTTGGATATTGTAGCTTATGTGATCTGAAAAGCTATAAGCACATGTCTAACAAGCTTATTTTCTTATAAATGGAAGATCCATGGATACTGAATAACGACATTACTAAGAGTTGGGAGATCATTTCTTTTCCTAGAGACATCATGGCTAAGAAAACAAAATTATGACATCAGAAAACAAAGTCCACCATCACCTGTAATGGACAAAGGTGAGGAGCTAATAATATATCCCAAATGGCTATTGCAGTTTGATTAAGTAAAATTAGTATATCTATCATCATTTGGCGCATTGATGTTTATCCTAGCTTCAAGTTGGACATATTGGTATTTAAGTTCTGATGCCCCATGCAGGAAATAAAATGAAATGGTCATTTGGTTTATGGATTCATAATTTCATTTTAGCTTTCTTCTGATGACTAATATCACAAAATAGGAGTTTTATCTCATGAGAATTGGGACCAATATTAATAGTTGCATCCTCTTTGTACCTTTTACTGATAATCTTCTGTCATTCTGATGGCATCTCTAGCTCTGTACCATTGTGCATTTTGTTTGTCTGTCCAAGAACATATTGTTTCATTTCATCAACAAGGAATATGGCACATGCTGTGTAAGTCGGTGATAGGTACACTGTTTAATCTTGAACTCGGAAACACATATATTGTACTTGCACTTCATGTGTGTCTGTAGTATAATATGCATATTTATCTATGCTTAACCACTTTTTAATGCATTCTTAATATTTTGACACACCAACTTTCAAGCAGAGGTGGATGACAAAAATAAACATCAATACTAACAACGAATTCTGCAGGATCCTGTGTGCCTCAACGTGATGAAGCCCCACTATCCATTAGCTTCACCAATCAAACGAACTGTGAGTCGGCATGCTACTGCTGCTTCCTTAGACAAAACAGGTGGTGTAAGTAACAGAGAACTCAGCACATCTAGATCAGAAAGCATCGATGCACATCAAATTATTTCTCAAGTTCAGATGTACAAAATTTTGAATTCTAGTAGTATAGCAGATAAGCCGATGGAAGCAGAGCCTTATGGCAAATGGCTTAAGCGCCTTGGACCCGACCCTTATGCTTTTGGCCATCGTAGTAAGAGAATGAAAATCAGAGATGGCCCCACCGGTGCAGAAATGTGCAGATTGTCAAGTAATGTACACAATGACAATACATCCAGCTCTGACTTGATGAAGTGTCCTGAGAAGCAACAGAGTTTTGACAGGGCCAAGAACTCACCGAGTATTCCTGAGTGCTGTTGTGAATTATCAGCAAAGACAACATGGTATTGGATTGAAAGATGGTGTCATAGAAGTCCTCAGAGAGCCAAAGCTCAGGCAAGTGCTGCTACAACTGGGTTATCCAAGCCCAGAAGTCCAAAAGTGGTTCCCGAGTATTTTGAGGGGAAAGAGTTGCCAAGCATCAGGGCATTGGCATTGATGGGGAAAGCGATGAACAATTCTCGGAAGGGTGAATTTCAGAGAAGGGGATCATCTGTGGTGTGGCATACGGAGGACTTATGAAAGCTTGGGGGCTTTGGCCTCTTTGATCTTCTTGTTGGCTTTTGAGGCAAGCAAGCACAATACGTGATGGGTACCCATCCAGTTATTTGTGGATCAAACACTGTGGATGCAGAAAACTACCTAAATTGGGAGGTTGCATAGATTTCACTGTTGTAATTTTTCATGTTTACATTTCCTATTTCACGTGTGGATTCAATTTTTCGGTCAAGTATTTCCTTAAAACCTCTCGATTCAAATTTCAAGAATGGGAATTTTTCTCTGCCTAGTTTTTCAGCTCTCGAGAGCCCAGTTTCAGGTGTCGTTGCTTTCAAACTTGAGTCAGGTCTTTTGATTCTTGAATTCTTGAATCATTTCTTCTTGAAGTTATAATAGATTCCATGTCAGGTGGCTGATGCATTGTTGACATCCATTTGCAGATACCAACAAGAAATGTGTGCTTTATACTCGGTCTTCTTGTTCTTGAGCAGTTCCAATCAGATGCATACGGTAAAACAGTAGATCCGTGCTGCTTCATTTCCTCATAAAAGCCACAGATTATGAATATTTGTTCCATGTCTGCAACTGAAGAAAGGTATCCTTCTTGCTCGGTTATGGGTTGGAGGAAACTCTTTAATGGATTTGCAGTGATTGCATAAACACTGTTCTTTATCTGATTACCAGAGATTGAGATGGTCTGTTGGTTTTTTTGTTGTTGAAGATTTTAGAAGCAATTCTCCGAATTTCTAATGCTTGTTTGAACATTTAGAAATTCCAAAAAAAAAAAGAAAACTTATCTTTCTATCAAAATATATTAGAAATTTATTTGGAACTTAAGCCAGTGATATATTTTTCTACATCAATTTGTTATAGCAGTATTTTATTATATATTAAGAGATAATCACAGCCGTCGAGCAAGTCGATCATGATTGAATGGAAACAGTTGCCGTGGGAGATCGCGACGGTCACCAATTAGAGTGGCAGATCACTGCGGACCACGATTACTGCCCAAGGAACCCTCTCGGGAGCGAGGAATAAATGAGTCTCTCTCTCTCTCTCTCTCAGCCTCACCCTCTTGCAAGGATAACCTTAACATTATTCTTTTAGGTATACATACATACACTACGTGTACAACACGGTAGAGGAGAGAGGAGAAGCCGAAGAGGGTTTTTGGCTGCCGAGAGGAGCGAAGAGGCGGTATAAGGCTACTACTGCGCCGCCCCGAGCTTTCCCTTCTCCTAACGGGCGAGAGAAGAAAAAGGAACAGGAGAAGGGTCCGTCGGAAGGAAGGAGAGGATGAGCGGCGGCGGCGGTGGAGGAGGGCCTGGGAGCAAGGGGAACGGAGCGGCGTCGGCTGCCCCGATCCCGGCGGGGTCCAGGAAGCTGGTGCAGAGCCTGAAGGAGATCGTGAACTGCTCGGAAACGGAGATCTACGCCATGCTTCGGGAGTGTAACATGGACCCTAACGAGGCCGTCCACCGACTCCTCTCGCAAGGTGCCCCGCCTCCCTTGGAAATTCCCCCCTTCCCTCTTTCTCTGTTCGCTGTTAGTTTATTCTTCTGTTTGTTACATGAAATCTTGCGATAAGGATGGCGTCTGTGGTTATTTTGGGGGTTACTTGGTTAGGTTTGGGATGAAAGGGACAGTAGGTGGCGGTACTCCGTTTCTGTAGTTGTTCCTCCTTCGATCCGAGGAAAATATCCAGTTTTGTCTGTCGGTTTTGCTTCCCCAGATTCTTGTTTTACCAAAAGAAGACTTAATTGGCGGTGTCTTGTTGTTTGGTTCGCAACTTCTTATCAACAGAACGGAAAGAAGAGAACTTTTTTGGCCTTGACATTTCGTTGGAAATTGTATTTGCCTGCGCCGCTTGTCCTCAGTGTTGTGTCTTGTAGATCCGAATGTGAGCCTGGAAGAGGTTGTTAACTTCGGTTTCTTGTAGCAACTGTCGCTTACGTTTCTCTATTTGACCAGTGTTTGTCTTTAGTATATTCGCGTGACGCCACCTCCTCTTACGCTTTGTTTAGATACTTGGTGATGAGAAAAGAATATGTGGAGTGATGGGATTTTTTCCCTGTTGATACCTGTTTACTTTTTTTTTATCTGTAGGATGAAAAGAGCGTCTTGGGATAGTTTACATAAACCTCATGCTCCCACCCAAACTACCACAAAGAAAAAATAAAAGAGAAAAAATTACCCAGCACCTAGTGTAAATTTTCATTTATGTCCTTTATTCTTTCTGTAGTTGTCTTTAATCTAAACGGAGTCTTAGCATAAGATGCTTCTCCTTTCTGATGTTCTTGATTTTCATAATCAGATCGTCAGTAGATTTTTTTTTTTCATTTATCATTGCTGAACCATTAGTTTTTATCCTCCTTGATTTATCATTCAATAATGTTACAAGTTATAAATTGAACTTTTAATATGTAGGTTACTTTGGCTTTTGCCCAACTCCTATTACATGTCACAAGTCTTAGCACCCCTAGCACATTTTTGTTACTCACTTTTCAATTTTGTTCTCTGTTGGCAAAGGAGATCTTGTTGGGAAGTTTTTGTTGAAGTACTTGCTTTAACTTTATGGAACCATGCTCAATGAAGCAACCATGCAACGAGATTCTTCTAGTGCTCCCACACACATGCACACATGTATACACGGAACAGTTATATTCTGTACTAGGCTGGGTCGTATCACTTTATAACACCTACTATAACACAAGCTCTTAGAATTTGTGTTCTGATGTGGTTGTGTTTGTGGATGTTCCATTATTTAATTTCTAATTTTGCTCTAAAGAATGGATATCAGCTAATGCATGTAAAGTAAGCTTCTCCTTCATGCTGTAAATGATTCTAAATTGTTAGTTTATAGGATTATCACTGAATATTCATACATCTGTTCATTGTTAAGGTTGCTTGACATACCCAGTATGCTTTTATCATGCCTAGTTGGTCATGGGGTCATCTTGGTTGTTTATTTTTTGTATTGCTGAAGGCTTCTGAGTGTTTTTTTTTACTCATATTTGTGTGCTTAGGCATTTTTCTAAATATTTGTATCTTGGTCCTTGCTTGTCTTAAGATCATGGCATCTCGCTTTTGTTTTCATTGAGTGACTGTTTTATGCTATGTCATCTTTTTGTTAGTAAAATGTGATTCTTTCTCTACTGATAAGCAAATTGCATGGAGTCGGTTTTTTGATGTGATAGTATCAATTGAAGAGTGTGATTTCGTCCTTGAACAATTGTTTCATTGACCTAAGAGTGTATGGCTGATCACACAAGACTGTGGTTGTTATTCTCCCTGCTGAGTGGACCAACAATAATTGGAGGTGTTTTTTTACTTCTTTCAATTATTTAGTTCCCTTTATGTGTATATCATGGTTACATGTGTAATTTTTCCAGAGAACTACGGACATAGGCAGTTCAAGAATCTTAGCTTGGTTTCCGAAACTCACGTTCCTTCTAGTACTAGTATTATTACTTACCGTTGATAATGTTAGTAGCTCATATAGGTTTGAGATACTCAAGTTTTTACTGTTTCCAAGTCTTTTACATTCAACCCTCTGTTTCTGAATGTTTCTGAGCATGTTTGCAAATTTGTCCTTATTCTGAAAACTCATTTGACACGAAAGAGGATGTCTTTGGAATGATTCTTTGTGTTCAGTACATCTTCATGTTGGTAATGTTATGATATTACTGAAGATGCCTCATTCATTAGAATATGAGGTAGTAGGATATGGTAATATACTTTGGTTAACAATAGGTACACATGGGTTGTTGAAAGATGCTTTGAGTTTTAAGGATAGAAACCATTGAGGACTAGGAAGAAATTATAACATACTTTAGTATAGCGATTTCAATAGGTGCTCGTGCGCGGCGAGGTGAGGCCCGAGCGCCTCGCTTCATTTCCAGGCGGCGCACTTCAAAGAGGCGTCGCTTGGGCACTTGCCAGAGCCCAGGCGTCGGGTGCTTCGGGCGAGCGCCTAGGTTAAACCAGGCGACCGAACCAGTATTTTAGGTCTGGTTCGGTCTCCGGTGCTTTAGTTGGTTCAATCGAACCAACTAAAGCACCGATATCAGCCTCCCAGCATCCCTCTCGCGACTTCCCCAACCCTAACCTTGCTTACGATTCTGTCATTGAGATTTCTTCTCTGTTGCCATTGCCTCTCTTCGTTGTCGCTACTCTCCGTCGCCGCTGCCACTATCGCTGCCACTGCCGTTGCTCGCCACTGCCACAATCGCTACTCGCCGTTGTTGTCGCTGCTCACTGATGTTGCTACTGTTTCCATTGTCGTCGCTCCCACTCCTAATGTCGCTGTCGTTGCTCGTTGCTACCGTTGCTCTCAATCAGTAGCCTCGGTCGTCCTCTTACTCACACTCATCTCACTTCGATAGTATACTGTTAATAGCAAGGTCTGCCATATCGAAGTGTATCGCCTGTACCGGGCGGTACATACCAGTCCGATAGGTTACCGGTACGTGGATCGTCCGGTACCGCTACAGTGCTACAGTACTATACTGTAGCACTGCTACAGTATGAAAAAAGTATAAAATTGTTCGATACACCAGGGTGTACCGCTCGGTACGCCCTGATGTATTGCCCGGTACACCAGTACCATACCGTACCGAGCCCGGGTCGAAACGTCGGTACGGTATGGTACGATGAACCTTGGTTAATAGTATACTGCTAACTGTATACTAGTAACAGTATTTTTATTTATTAGATTAATAATATATTATTTTGATTTTAATACTATTAATTTTTATTTATTTGAAATTATTATTAGGTTTCAGGATAAATGACAAGTGTACAGAGCAACTCAATATATTCTCAAACGACATCAAAAAGGGATCCTGCATGGAAGTATAATTATCTAAAGGATCTGAAAGATCCTAATGCAGTGACTTGCATGTTCTGCGATAAGACTACTAAAGGTGGTATTTTTCGTGCAAAACAACATCTAGTAGGAAATTTCAAGAATGCAACAGCTTGCAAAAAGTGTCCACCCGAGGTAAAAAAAGAGTTGCTGAGTTATACGAATGAAATATATTTTGATGAAGAGGAAGGACAAGAGGAAGAGGATGAATTCAATGAAGATGATTTGTGTGAAAATGTCGATAATATTGATTATGATAAATTTCTTTGATATAAATTTTATTGTTTTGAATTTTGAGACTTTTTGTTAATATGACATTGTGATTTTGACATTTTGTACCTTAGATTTTCTTAATTTAATAGTATTTTTTATTTAAATAATTATATTTATTAATTATATTATATATTTTTATATTTTAGCGTCTCGCTTCGCTCAGGCGAGTGCCTAGCACCTCGAGTGTTTTTGGACCTTGACGCCTAGCGCTTTTTAAATCACTGCTTTAGTAATTAACATTGGGTAAGACATGGGTTGTTCAAAAGATGCTAGGATATGTTTATGAGAAACCATTGAGGACTAATATATTAAGTTTGTAGGCTATTGATTGTCTTTTGCTCTTTTTCCAGATGTTATGCTTGTTTAGTTGTGTAAGTCATTATTGTTGGCCACAGCTGCTATATCACAATGAGTCTCTCTTACCATTCATGCTCTTTCCAATGGATAATAGTAGTTACTGTAGTTCATTAATGCTGCCAAAGTATTGTCTGATGAAATGTTTCTGCAAATTGTGCATAGATTTCTATTTCTTCAAGTGGACTTACATCTAACTTAGTGATCATTCACATTGCAGATGCTTTTCATGAGGTGAGGAGCAAGCGTGATAAGAAAAAGGAGGTTAGTCCATATGATTAATTGTATTAGATCATGCTGAACTAACCTTTTTTCACAGTCCATTATCATTTTTCATCTTTTGTTTCTTATTTTGCTGCGTTAGACATGGCTTAAACAGTTTAATATTTTTTTTAGGTTACTTTAACTATTTTATGGATTTATCACCATTATGATCTTCATATCTTATTATTTCTGGATCGTTGAGTTAGCCTAATCATTCTTCTTCATCCATTTAATCTTTTCAAGGAGTGCCAACTATATTTATGCAATGCACTTGAATCATCATTTGCAATATTTACCAAGATGCTTTTACGTTAATGCTTATTTGTTTTATTGAAAATTGCCTTATTTTATTTCTGATAAAGTGTTTCGTTGGTGATTTCACCAGAAAGTGCAAGTCAATTTACATTGTTTGGATGTTTCATGTTTCCATTGCTCTTTTTCACTTGTTTTAGATCAGAGAACCTCCAGAATCCAGGTCTAGAACAGTGAACAACAGTTCAAGCCGTGGAGCTAGGGGCAGTGCTGATCGTGGGGGCCGTAGTACTTCCCAATCTAGTTCTGCTGGTACGTGATTTAACATCATGGCTTCATTATTTGTGTGCTTGAGAGTGCAAATTTAGTGCATTTGTTTATGTATTTGCTTATGAGTTTCATCTTTGCCTTAGTAGACTATGGGGCTAGTAAAGGCAAGCTTATACACAAGAATGAAAATGGTATGAGTGCTGTTCTTTTTACAGCATCAGTTCTGGAATCTTCGATGATATCGAGTAATCTTCCTCAAAAGCCAACAGCTCCAAGGTGATAATTTTATAGGATGTCGCTTGCACATTTCTTGATCCAGATGAAAACTACTATTTAGACCAATTGGATCATGATTTCATATCGAGTTATTTCTTGTTTATTCAAGTTATCCCGTTGTATGAATGTTTCTATAAATAGATTTTTGTGAAACCTTGTACATTTTGCTCCTGCTATCCAAGTTATTACCTTAAAAACAGTCTTGACACATGATACATTGGCTGATGGTCGGTGAATGTGATTTCCAATGTTGGGTATAAAGCATTCTTCCCAGCAAGTTGAAGAATTTGCTTTTATGCAAGGATTGAAATTAAGTACCGTATCAGTGTTTTGAGGTTTGCTCGGTACAGTACGGTATGGGCGTATCGAGCGGTACGCTAGGGCATACCGAACGGTATGTTTAAAAAATATTAAAATTAATTTTAATATTAAATAATATTAAATATGTATAAAAATATATATAATCACAGAAATATAAAATAGTTAATGATGGTGCACTTAAAATGATATTAAATATATTATATTTAAATGATTAAATATATAAAAATATATATAACTTAGCAACGCCCGTTCAAACCCTAGGCGAATAGCTATGACGTCGAGGGATGGCAGCGAGCGCCACAGCGAAGGAGCGGAAGAAGAAGGATCTTCTTCGGTGTCGAGGGAACGATGGCAGCGAGCGCCATAGTGCTGCGGCGTCGAGGGAGCGATGGCAACGGGCGCTGCAGCGAAGAAGAAGACGATGAAGAAGAAGGAGGCGGTGTCGGGTACTATTTCTCGAAGCTTCTCCCTCTTCTTTGAACGCCTCTTCTTCCTCGCCTCGCCTCGCCATAGACGGGTTGATACCACTCGGTAGTAAGCAGTCCGTGTGTCGATCAGCTGGCGGACCGGTATGTACTGCCCGGTATGGGAGGTATCATTCAGTATTGCAAACCTTGCTTTTATGTTTTTTGAGTCTTCTTTTTTTGTAAAAACTTCATGAGAAATTTTTATCTTATATTAAGTGGTTTTTTACAATTAACTCATCCAACAAATTTTTGATGTTGGTTATTTCTCGGTATCAAATCTGATGGCTATCGTCTCCTTTGGTTTTTATTATTATTTAATTTATTTGCCTTGATGCAATGGTTATTGCAATTTTCTGCAATGTCATTTGTACTCTCATTTTCTTGTAGCAATTCTGCTTCTATGGGAGATACAATACAGGCAGCAAACATTGGTGATGGAATATCTACGTTGGTGCAATCTTCATCTGGCTTCCAAAATAGTTGGTTGGGGAAGCCAGGACACCTTTCTATGGCTGATATTGTCAAGATGGGTAGACCTCAAGGCAAACCTTCTGGCATTCCTGTAGTGGCAAGTGAAAGATCTGATATGGCACAAAAGGAAGCCAAGCAATCCTCAACAGCAGTTCTGCCATCAGAGGCAGACAAGTTAACGGATTCCTTTCAAGAATCCACTCAAGTTTCTGAGTTTAGTTATGATATTGGAATTGCCGAAGGTCAGCAAATTTCTTATGATGGATGGCCCCTTGATGAGCAACCTACAGAGAGTGGGTCAACTCCACCAGAAATATCTGGTGCTTCTCCTGTTTATGCAAACTCCTCAGAGTTGGCTTCATCTATTGATGGAAATAACTCTCATATAGGTTCTCATTCAGAAGAGACCCAAGTGCCAGTGGAAGGTCATCATGATAAAACTCTACCAGCAGATTCCAGACCCATATCAATCTCCTCCGACATGCAGATACTAGTTGACAATTCTGCTGATGCTGATGCTTACCATTTGAATGAAGGCTTATTAAAAAGTACAAATTCCTACAATTCTCGAAGGCTTGAACTTGATCATCATGAAGGTAAAATTTGATCTTCCATTGTACCATTTCCTTTTTCGTGTTCACTGTTGATATTTTCTCTTTCAATCAGTTTTACTGTATCAAGAAGATTTTGATTTTTGTTGCAATCAAACTATGATTATTATTTGAATGCAAGTTGAGCTGCATCTTTAAAAGAGACTGGTATAACGTTTGATTTGGTGTGTACCAAATGGAATGGCCAATTGTAAAGATAAGTGAATTACTGGAGGTTCTATCATCTTCATTGTACTTTCTGTAATACCATTATCACCTACTTTTGTCTATATATGCTACATCTGGATTCAAAATTGTGTTTACTTGAGAAGGAGAAAGCATCAATTTATATGGTTGGCCTATTTTACAAACAAATTGAAGCATATATGTTCAGTTTATTGAATGTTGACTCTTCTTTTACGCATGTGAATATGCCAAAGATCTCTAAACTTCAGAAGAGTTATATTTGTCAACTGCGAACTGATTCAACTACATAGTTTACTTTCACTATATTCTCTCAGTTAGGATGTTTTTTTGCCTTGGACGATTCTACTCTTGATCCTTGAATTTGTCAGCTAAATGTGATCTTATTTTTTTGCAAATTGTCTTTTTTGGACTTTTTTCTATGAAGCATGAATACGTCTATGTGACACCATTACGATCATACAGACATGCATTACATCAACTTTTGAAAATATAGGATTGATAGGACATTTATATGGTAACAACTAACAAAAACTACTATAGTATTATATATATAACAAAACTTGTTTATTTATAGTGTCAGAATATGATTTATAGAATATACAGATGGCACATGAGTTAATATTGATTTTATTAATTACAATAAGATGTTTAATAAGAATTTACTTAGAACAGTATATTTAATCATATAACCATCTTGTCTACACCCAAAATTTAAATCCCAAAAGCCAAATTCTTTTGAGAAGCAACCATAAAGTTATCCCTTGCATATCTTAAAAGTATTGATGCTTTGGGAAAGTATCCAAAACATATTAAAGAAGTATCATATTTGACTCAGATCCATGTTATATATTAGAAGCAATTAGAATTGAAGTATCCATGCCACACAGATTTGTTACTTCAAGGACCACAGTTAAGAGCCATTTTTTTTTACAGTTTCTACAAGAACAATACAGTAACTCTGAACATGATTCTTTTCTGTTCCTTTCTTTTTCCAAGGCGAGGTTTTTTCTATTTTGTTGAATTATTTCTACTGCTACACAGTTAAACATGTTCCTTTCATCACTTTGCTGATATATATCTTCCTCGATGGCTAGGTTCTTTCCCAGCTGGTGATAGTGTGGATCTTTCATCAGCTGCTGTAAACTTGGGGCAACTGAGTTTGCATGAGGAGACTAGAACAGAACCTACTGTGGTTAGTCCTGCAGTAATAATTCCTGACCATCTGCGGGTTACGAATGCAGATTGTGCACATCTAAGCTTTGGTAGTTTTGTATCCGGTGCATTTTCTGGATCTTTTCCATCAAAGCAATTAAAAAGCAACTTGGAAGTGGCTCCAGTCATGAGTGATGCTTCTTCAACAGACAATTCTGACATGAGGTGGTATTAGTACCTTTTTGTATTTTCTCTATGCAATTTCAGTCTCTGATTTGATGCATGTCTTTTGACAGAAATCATGAGTACTACAGTGACGAGCAGCTTAATCCTACACTAATTGAGAATATAGCTTCTAGATCAAGCACTGGTTCAGAGAATCTTGATGTGCCTTCTGCATCACAAACTGAAGTTGTGAAGAATGATCCATTGGATGCTACACATGAGATTCAGTACAACCTTCCATCTGTTTCTAATTATGCATTTCCGAGCTCTACACAACCAAATGCTACATCTTATGCTTATCCACAAGAAAATTCACAAATGCAGAGTCTTTCCCCTTTTCCAAGTTTAATGGTAACTTAATGCCAGTCCTTTTGCTGTTTAGCTGACTAATTTATGATGGGGTCTGGTTTGGACATGATTTTATGCTGTTTAATTTTCGTTTTGGTTAAAGTTGTGCATGATATTTATTTTATTTCATCAGATACTTGAAATGCATTACAGTGGTTTATCTGATATAAATAACAAAAGCTAACATTTATGCAATTATTTGTATGTCTCTGGCCTGGTTTGTGGTTTCATGACAAGCATAATCTAGATAACTTTTTATTGCTAATATGGATCCGACCAATCTTCTTGAATAATGCTTTGGACAAAGTAATTTGTGAGCATATTGAAGATTAACAAGTAAAAAAAGGTAATGACTGAAGATTGATTTTGGTTATTTTAGATGGAACAACAGTCATAAATCATCATAATAGGCAATAATCAGCATTTCTAAAATTTTCTCATCCAAGCAAAGATTTTCTTTAAGAAATCAACAGTGTTTTTTCACCTTAAATCCCTATTTAAGTTTGTTCCTGTTTTCAGTTCTTATTTCCAGATTTTCATCTTAAGTCAAAAAGCTTTTTTTATTGGAGTCCTCTCTATATCATGGTACCTATCTTTGCTTATCTTGAATTTAAGATGCTAAGATCAAACATTACATTTAATAATTGTATATCAATTTTGTCATTGTCACAAGCTTGACATTCAGAAAAAATCATATTCTTATTAAGTATCCTGAACTATCCAGTTTTAAATGATTATATCATGAATAGATATTTCAAAGAAGGGTCCAACATGTACCTAATAGGTTTTGATATCTGATGTGCATGTTATACCTTTATTGCAACCAACCATTTTGAGATATCAGTGTTAATTACCATAATCTAGTGGAACGGCTGTGAGACAGCATATTGCAGGTAAGTTCATATTTGAAGCAAAAACCCTTCAGGGAAGTTCTGTGCACTCTGCCTTTGAGTGGTTTATTATAAATTATAACATGTTTATCATGCAGTTTGCATTTTTGGCATCATGTCATTTTAATGCTTTGTCATGAAAAATTGTATAGTCGATCTCTGTATGCAGGGATTATGTCTTTATATATTTTCTTACGCCTGAAGTAATCCTTTGCAGCAACCCAATAGCCTACAAAACAGTTTGTTAGCAGCAGGCATTCCATCTCTTCGAGATTTTGATATGTCCTTGTCTCCCTTGCTCACTACGCAATCAATGCCTACAAGGCACATTACATCATTGTCATCCATTGGTGGGCAAACCATTTCCATGTCTGAGGTAAGCGTCAACAGCTTAAATTCTAGTAAATTCATGTACTGTTTTTGTATGCCTGTTTGATTTTTGGTTCACAACTTGGCAAAGCATCAGTTGATCACTTTTGGCCGCATTGTGCACTGCCATGTCATTTTGTGTGTGTGCCACCAATCACCACCACATGTACCGGAGGATGTTGGCAAACTAAATTATAGTTCCATATATGGATAAGACTTATTTCAGGGGGTTTCTAATGTTCAAAACTATTCAAACCACATTTGTCGGGGCAAGGCCTGTCCAAAACTTTGAATGAGAAAAACAATTTGAGCCTTGCCTGATTTGAAGTTTTATCAATCCATGGAGGCAAAAGAAGATTTAGCTTGTGGACCATTGATGAGTCAAAATGTGTTTAAGTTGGCTTGCTCACAAGGTTTACAATTTCGTACCGTACCGGAGTATCGAGCTCAGCTCGGTACGGTACGAGCGTACCGAGCGGTATGCTTTGGCGTATTGCTCAGTATATATATATATATATATATATATATATATAATAATAATAATAATAAGTTTAAAAAAATAAGAAAAGGGCGATGTCGCCTCGTTTCTTCTCCCTGTGCGGATGAGAATAAGTCGCCGACGACGCTAAGGCCTCGTCGCCTCAGACGAGGAGGTGACATCTCATCTACGGTGTCTGGCGAGGGAGGGCGACGATGGATCAGGATCATCGAGGGAGGGCGACGACGGATCTCCAGGTTCTTCCTTTTTTTCTCCCTCTTCTTCCTTCTCCCTCAGCTAACACCACCCGATAGCGAGCGGTGATGGTCGAAATCGATTACCGACTGATTTCGGGCGGTAACGGGACAGAAACAGCCCCAATCGATGGTACCATCTGGTACAAGTGGTATCATTCGAAATTAAATCTTTGCTTACCCAATTGATAGTCCTAAGCCTAACATATATCACACTTGGTTTGTGCTCATCAAAATTTATCTAGCACCTCCTTTAATCATTAAAGTTCTGCAGGCTTAGGCTAGAGGCAAGTAATCTGCCTGCATATCAGTTTGTATGCCTCTTATGCGCCTTGCTGTCCCCGATCAGCTTGTATCATTCTGAACTTATTGAATGTGGTTACTAGTCACTTGCCTCTATGCACCATTCTGAATTTGTTGAATGCTGTTACTATCATATTGTTATTTGCTTCCATCTAGTTAATCAGTAGGTTTTAAATGCAGAGACTATCATTTGAAGAATTCAGGTGTTGATTTTTTATTAGCCTGACACTAGACATGCTTTGTGCAGGCTCTGAATCCAGGGTTGTTTTCCAACCCTCAATCAACTCCGCAATCCTTGACGAGCACCACCATGTTCACGAGCCCTGCACTCCATCAACATCTTCCTGTCCCTCATTACTCTCAGCCTGCGCTTCCGTTGGGCCATTTTGCCAATATGATAAGCTACCCACCTTTTCTACCCCAGAGCTACACCTACTTGCCTTCATTCCAACAAGCATACACTGCAAACAGTCCATTCCATCAATCTCCTGGTGCGGTGCCCGGTGCAGGCATGAAGTATTCACAGCCACAATTTAAAAATAGTCTGTCTGTGACTAGCCTACCTCAGGCTTCTGCCATAGCCTCTGCTTATGGAGGATTAGGAAACTCTGCCAACATTCCTGGGGGCTTTGCCCTAAACCACCATACAAGTGGATCTGCTAGCACAACAACCGGGTTCGATGAATCTTTAAGCTTGCAAAACAAAGAAGAGAGTCATTACATGCCTCCTCAACAGGTAAATAATAATTGTTTCAGCTTCTAGAACTTTCTGACTTTCAGGTTTAGACTTCTGAATTCTTGTGGTTATTACCAGAGTGAGAACCCAAATTTGTGGCTCCACAGTGCTGCTGGTTCGAGAGCAATGCCGGCTCTTCCAGCAAGCACTTTCTACAACTATCAGGGTCAGAGTCAGCAAAGCGGGTTTCGCCAGAGTCCGCAGGCTTCACACTTGGGAGCTTTAGGGTACCCAAACTTGTACCATTCACCGGCAGGTCTGTCACGGGAACACCAACAAAACACTGGCGAAGGGAACTTGAATGGACCTCCGACCACGCAGGCTCATCCAGCAAACCAAATCTGGCAACATGGCTACTAAGCTGTTGCTGATGACTCCCAGTTTGTGGGTCCTGGAGGAGTTTGCTTGCAGGTCTTCATGGTTAGAACCCTTACATACCCTAGCTGAAGCATTCTAGACTCACCAACTAAATGTATCGCGGCTAAGCAGTTGTCGACTGGCTGCTAATCTCATTGGATGAAGAGGGTCATGCATTCATTCTAGGGGTTGAGTGTGTTTCAACTTTTGTAGTACGTGGAGTAATTTAGACTTTGTTTCCTGTGATAAAAACCCTTAACATCTGCAGATCTTCAATGTAACATTTGACCTTAGTCATCTAACAAAATGTGATCTCTTAGGCCTACAGTTTGATCTTTTTTATTTCAAAAAATTAGAAGAAATTTTTATTATATTAAATGATGTATGTGACGCTTGTGGATTACGATCGATCTTGAGACCAATCAAGATCGATAAGTGATTCGTCGATCGTAGTACTAACCAACCAATCCGATCGATAAGTGATTTGTCGTCGATCATTGTTCTTCTTCTTGGTGGTCTCTTATAAACCATTTGAAGTTTTCATTACATCATTAATGTCGAAAAGCTATTTGTGTTCTTTGTTTCTCAAAACAAATTAGTGCATGCTATTTGTGTTCTTTCTTTCTCAAAACAAATTAGTGCATGCAATTAGTATGGACGAAAAAAAAAGAAATTTTTTTATTAAATAATGTTTTATGAGGGTAATCTCAATCATGATTTGATTGAATTAAATCATGATGTGCACTATAATCGTGGGGGCGCAATGGAATAATAGCACAAACACATCCATTAGGGGATGGGAAATTACATATAGCTCATCAAATATTACTCGGACGAGACAATAAATAATTGGATCATCCAACGACATCATGATATTTTACACCATCAACAGCCACCCAACGTAGTCAGAAGCAGCTGTTGCTCCGGAAGCAGCAGCTCACTTGCCGGGGACGAAGTTGGTGGCGTAGGCCCAAGCGTTGTTGTTGACGGGGTCGGCGAGGTGGTCGGCCAGGTTCTCCAGCGGGCCCTTGCCGGTCACGATGGCCTGAACGAAGAATCCGAACATGGAGAACATGGCCAGGCGGCCGTTCTTGATCTCCTTCACCTTCAGCTCCGCGAAGGCTTCGGGGTCGTCGGCCAGGCCGAGGGGGTCGAAGCTGCCGCCCGGGTAGAGCGGGTCGGTCACCTCGCCGAGCGGCCCGCCGGCGATGCGGTAGCCCTCCACGGCGCCCATCAGGATCACCTGGCACGCCCAGATGGCCAGAATGCTCTGAGCGTGGATCAAGCTGGGATTGCCCAGGTAGTCCAGTCCGCCCTCGCTAAAGATCTGAGCGCCGGCCTTGAACCACACCGCCTCCCCGAACTTGACCCCGTTGCGGGCCAGCAACTCCGGGAAGACGCAGCCCAGGGCGCCGAGCATAGCCCACCGGCAGTGGATGACCTCCAGCTCCCGGTTCTTGGCGAAGGTCTCGGGGTCGGCCGACAGCCCAGCCGTGTCCCACCCGTAGTCGCCCGGGAACTCGCCGGTGAGGTAGGACGGGGGCTCGCCGGAGAACGGGCCGAGGTACTTGACGCGGTCGGGGCCGTACCACGGACTACCGGATGCAACGGGCTTCGGCTTGGCGCCCGTCTTCCGCATGGTGACCCTGCCTCCGCCGAGGACGTCGGAGGCCGAGGGGGCGAGCTTGACGGCCTGGCCGGCGAAGGATGGGGAGGAGAGGGCCATGGTGGAAGCCATTGGAGAATGACTCGCTGCAAGGAGGAAAGAGTAGGAGATGGATTCGATGAGAGAGTAGAGCGAGGGGTTGGGGTTTATGAAGGCGAAGCGGGAGCGGGAGAGGGTGGCAGTCCTTATCCTACGAAATCTGTAGCTCTCCTCTCATTGGTTCGGAGGGTTTGAGATGGTAATTGCGTCGAACACTTGGCACACTCTCGTCCACAACAGCTGGAGATACTTAAGATTTGTGGCTTCTGTGGAAATCTCCTTCACCGAGTGTTGATTGGAGCCTCCAGATTTTTTTTTTTTGGGGGGGCCTCAGTGTCAGATGTTTAGATAATTTCGCCAAAAATAAATGACCAAATATGCTTTCTTATTATGTAGGAAAAAAAAAAAAAGAAAAGAAAGAAAAGAACTCAATTTAATGTGATTTGTGTAAGACAAATAACTATGGAAAGAAAAAGCTTCAGTAGTAGTACTCCTCCTTGAATCAATTCCACACAACCGGATACTGACAAGTATTTGATGTTCAGTATAATCAATTCGAGAATGTAGCAAACAAACCATTTATACTTGTATAATCAATTGCTAACATTACAGTCGCAAGTTCAATGACATAAATTTTACATTTAGAGAAGAGACTATTTTCAAGTCCAAAAAAAAAATATTAATAAAATGTCGATAGCAGCTGATGACAACGTAGTATGCGGAAGCAGCCCTAATGGCCACCATCACAACATCAATGTCGAGTTACCAACTTGGGTTAGGCCTCTTCGGTCAGAGAGCACACCAAAGCAGCAAGTGACGTAATTGTCAACTCAGAACCAGCATGTATGAAGCAATTCTGTGATAGATGCACGCATAAGCCCTTGATGGAAGGTCAGGTCCATATTATCACTACCTTAGCATTTCCTGCAGTTGAAGCACTTGATTCCTTTGCTCCGGTGGTAGAAGATTGATCTGCTCTGGTGTAAGGCTCATAACTTGCTGAAGCAATGCTTTCTCCATTTCTGGTGTCAACTGCACAACCATAAATAGAGTGGTATATAACATGAAGTTATTTTCTGATTAATTTTATACCAACTAAATTCAGGCCTATGGAAAAAAGAAAAATCAGGCTTACGAGGGCTATTACCGGTGGCGGACGAAGTGGCTGACCACTTGTGCCTGTGGCCATCTGTCCAGAAATCATCGGTAGTCCTGGAAGATGGGAACCAGGTGCCCAAAGAGCTCCTCTGTCGGCTTGCATGGGGGGGGTGCCAGCTTGACTGCCATGGTCTGGACCTAGATGTGAACCAACCTGCTAAAAGAAAACAACTTTGTTTACATGAAACAAAGTGTATTGGGTATTCAAGTGTAGTTGATTTGTTTTCACCAGAATATCACAGTTTGTGTAGATCCCAGCTTAAGTTTTATGGCTTCATGTTACTATATATAATAAAAATCAATATTTGATATATAGGACAAGTATTGGAGCCTCCATGTTGTTTTGCTTCTCAAGGGCAGCTCTTGATAACATTACTTGAAGACATGATTCAGTGCAAAGAATCTAATAGTTGGTGTACACATGTTTGGACTATTTTATTTTGGTGCACTCAGATTTTTATTACATATTTTGACATTGTACATTGTACTGATATGCAGAGCACATATATTATGCAGTCTCGTCTTCGCTGTATATATCTTGTTTGCTTCATTGTTTGGGTTATTTTCAAGATTACCAAACATTTTATTCAGAAGCAGAATCTAAACGCACCTGATACATATGCTGAGGTGGTGGTTGGCTTGGAAGAGGTGGCTGTCCTTGTATGAAGGAAGTTGGAGGGGTTATACCTGACTGAAAATTTTGAAAAGCATGTCACCTTCTGCAACTAGTCCCTTCTGTAGATGAAAATAAAATTGATTCCTTGAATAGTTATGAAGACTTTAGTTTCCAACTTACATGAAACAAAGGCTGTGATAAAAGCTGTTGAGGTGCACTTGATGGTTGAAAACCAAGGGAATGAGCCATCTGTGGGTGAAGCTGATGAGCGAAAGGTTGAATTGCGACCGGTCTAGGCTGCATAGGTAATGGTGGTTGCAAAGCCTGATTGAATACTCCAGGATTCTGCAAAGTTTGATGTGGCTGCACAGGGACCATTGGCATATGGGATGGAAGAGTTGAGTAATGTGGAGCGGCAGGGGCTGGTAAAGATATATTCTGAATCTGGGAAGATTGTGGAGGTGGTACTGTAGGAATTTGCACAACTGGAAAGCTCTTAGTTTGTGGTGCTGAAAGTGCTAATGGCATTGTTGGCAACTGGAAGGTCGATGGAGCAACAGATGCAGGTGGAACGGAAATGGCTGGTGGTGCTGGATTTTGTTGTCTAGCTGGTGGTAGTGTCTGAGACGAACTAGGTTCACCTTGTGGTCCAACTTGAACTGGCGGTGTCTGAGAATTTTGAACATTTGGCGGCTGTCCAACATGTGCTGGTTGTGGTTGCGACAAAGGCTGTTGGATAGTGGGCATCTACAAAATAGAAATGCATCAATTCTTTGCAATCAAATTGATGTACGAAGTAAATTCTAAGTTAAGGACACATCATATTACCACTTTAGGAGGCTGAACCATTCCAAGCATTATTTGTGCCTGAAATAAACCCACCATTTCAACATTTAAGTGCTTAACGTCTTAAACATATTTTCCAACGGAAACAAAAAAGATGGAACTCTCAAGGAAATCATGAGTTGGATACAAAAATGTTCAAATGACATGCAAACCTTTTAACTTTAATTAAAGATGACCCATATCATAGCTCAAATGCAAGTCATAATTTTTCCCTCTCATCCAAAAAAAACAAAAGAACAAACCATGAAAATTAATCTTCAGTCTAGCAGGACATGCTCTAGTAGAACTGTGGACCATTACTACAATACTGGATTCAGTTTTACTTGAGAATTCAAGAATCATATTGCAAGGTGTAGTGTAGAGCACAAAGAAGTAAAGTTCTTGACCATTCAAGTTTTATTCTAAAATCTTTAAATTCTTAAATTTCAACCCATATATCTGAGTTAAAGTGTATTTTTATTCTAGTTACATTAATTAAGCCAATGATGTCAACAAGAACCAAATGAAATGGGATTTCTTTGAATCCACCTAGTATGTTAATCTTTTATGAGGCAAGTAGATGAGGAGTCAAATATAACTTTTGATGCAACTCCATAGAGATTAAATGCTATCTTGTTTCCTCTCATATTTCTCCTTACTCTACTAGCTACTAACTAGTCCTATCTATCATAAATTAAAACAACCAAAACAAAAAGATACTCTTCATCCTAAAAAGTTCTGATCATTTGAATAGCAGCTTGTTTTTGGCCATCTTATGTTAGAATCCTAGCTCCACAGCCAATATATGTATCTTTTACCCATCGACATATAACGACAAATCATCTTATGCTATGTCTCGAACATGAGTTATAACTAACCAAGTGCAACACACTGAATCCACATATCAAATTACTAAGTGTACATGTCTCCCCACATGTGCTCAATGTTTAAACCAATTTGTTAAGTATAACATTACTTTCTTATCACCTCCTCGGCTATGTAAATAGAGAATATTGTTATTTCCAAATAAATGATTTGCAGCAAATACCAAATATCATTCCACACAGCTGATAGGCCCTTGTTAGGATCCTTCAACTTACTTAGGTTACAGTTGACCCAAAAGTTTGTGTGTGTATGAACATATAAGATTTTATCTTGCTTCTAAACATGAACTAAGCCTATTTGACCTTGAGAAATGAGTAAGAATGATGCTACCAATTAATAAAGAAGTCTGAAGCACAGAAAACTCAGTCAAGAATTGTCTGCTAATGAATGCATAAGTAATCATGTGAAATGACTTGTCCTGAGAAAACCTAGAGGATGGTTTCTTGGTCAAACTAGTGTTGGAGTTCCAAAACTTTATGAAGAGTTTAATATGCAGTCATAAGAAGAAGTGGGGTTACAAGGACTTGGATATCAGCTGCAGTGTCAGCTGAGTAAAAAAAGCATTGAGGCATGAAAGTTAGCATGAAGTTCCAAAATTCGAAAAACAAATTGTGTTGATCTAAAGACACAAATGCTCAAATCTAAATGTTCACATGACTGCACAGATCAATATCAATCAATTGCACAAGATTACTAATAGTCACAACAAGAAGACCAGATGAACATTATAATCCAGTTGCAATAAATCAAAAAGCAACCAAACCCATCTGTCTTTATTATCTGCAACAAAAGATCCTAGCAACCAGTATGATGCAGGGAAGAGTAAAGAGATGATTGACCTGGAAGAGAGATCGGGTCAGGAGAGGGTTGTCAATGAGTATCTGCCTTGCCTGTTGCTGATTCTGCTCTATTAAAGCCTGAAAAAGAATATATATAAGAAAAAAATAATAAAAAGAAAGTTGATGATCATCGATCACTTTCTTGGATAAAAAGGAAAGAAAGAAAATAAAAAGAATTAAGGGTTTCATTTCTTTGACGGGTCAGGAGCATACCTTCATTTGAGACATGATGTCATAGAGCTGGGCTTTGGACATGCCCGCAAACTGCGAGGTGAAGCCATCACCAGGCGGTGGCTGCTGCTGCTGCTGCGTCTGCTGTGCAGCCATCCTACTCTGTCCTTCCAACCCCCATTGTCTCTTTGGCTCTCCCACAAACACTTATCCCGTCTCCTAATAGGTAAAGCTGGCAAACTTAAATTTGAGGACAAGACCAATTCCGGCGGCGGTATGATACAATTAGGAAAAAAAGACTCATTTTAAACCCAGTCAAGTAGGAACTTCTCTACATGCTCAAATGTCAGAGAAAAAATGATAACTTTGCGTCTCTACCACAATTGCTTGACCATGAAAACTTTGGTTCAAATCAGATATAGCTGTCTAACAAGAATTTCGTGATCCTCACAACCAACAGTTACAACTTCGAGGGTTTTCAGAGCTTCTGCGTGCGTGCATGCGTGCTCGTAAGGGAGTTGGGCGGAGGCAATTTCAAATGATCGATCTACCAAAAGCATAATAAAGAACAGGAAAGCTACAGCCAGCGAATGTTCACGAAGACAAAATAAGTTTACATCAACAACATGAGAAGAAGTGTCTCTCGAAATGTCCCGAAAAAGATGGGCTCGAAACATTTACAATCGGAAGAATAAATATGAATCCACCGTGAAATGTTCCGAATCCAAGGAAGAAGAAGCACCTGTTTGCCGGCGAGGCACTGCTGCGCTCCGGTCGTCGCTCTGTTCGCTACGGAGAAGAGGAGGGCTCGGGTTAGCAGCAGCAGGAGGTGGGAGAAGAGAGGACGAGTCGATTTAGGGCAGAAGCGGGTCAGGATTTGGGATTTTAAAGCTGATCAATTGGAGCCATCGAGATCGATCAGCCCCACCATGGGCCCAATCTTCTTATCGTGGGCCTCCTCCATCTCACGAATCATACAGCAATCCGACAAATCTAATCCAATCCGCTTGAATCGGACCGGTGCAGTCCGGGTTCATTATTGAAACCACCACCTCACTACCCGGCGTCGCCGTTCGAGAACGACGGGGCGAAGCCAGTCCCCTCAAGTGGCAACTCCTTTCTCATTCTGTGTGTTTCCTGCGCGGCCGCTGGTTCGTCAGAACGATTGGGGCTTTTGTGATCGAATCCTTCATCCTCCTCCGTCCAGTCGCGTCCATTTTCGATCGAGAGAGAGAGAGGTATGCCGATTATACGATACAAGAACATGATTGCTTATCATTTGCTTTTTTATGGAACACATTCATAATTTATGCTCATTGTATCGGTCTGTTCCTGCTTTTCAGTCTTTCTTCGCTGCTTGTTCTAATTATTCTATGGATTTCTGAGAAAGATAATCTTTTCAGGTTGCAGTCTTGGTTGTTAAAAATTCAGGATTCTATTTGATAAGGTATATTTTGGACTCCAGCTACGTCACAACCCGTGCCCCTGCTAAGTCAACATGAGGAGTACTTTCATGCGTAATCCGTACCGAGATACCCCTCGATACGTCCCATCCAGAAAAGCTCGGGACGACGTCGCATGGTACCATTCCATGCATTTCGGGCGGCGACCACGTGAAGGTACCACATCGCCACTCGGGGATCGACCGCCATACCAAATTTGCGTACAATCGATCCTCGTGCAATAGTATAAAAGCCCCTGACTGACATATGACCAGGGAAAGGAAAGAGGAAGGCTACCACTAACTTATTCGATGAGGGGCCACTGTCGGGAACCCCCGACGAGGGCCTCCTGTGCATGAGCACGACCTCCCCCCCCCCTCGAGAAGCGCGATCGCCCCGATCAGGAGATGCCTTCCCGGAAGACGGAGTCAGTGCCCCGACCGAGAGACGCCATCCCTCAGACAACACCACTGCATCCCGACTTCCTGACATAGTTGGCTTCGGCACTTCTTCCAACCGATCACGAACTCCCGATATCGACTCGTGGACCAAGCCATGCTGACTTATCGACATGACGCATTTGTTCACTAACATTTTTGGTGCTAGAAGGAGGGCCGATGTCGCAGGAGCATCCCACAAGAGTTCCCCCCGAAGGAGAACTACCAGCTAACCACCCCCCTTTCGGACTCGGTGATCAGCCCCTCCCCGTCCTTAGGGATGGGGGTGTTCCGGCTCCAACACCGGATCGTTACTAGCACATGTTCAATGATCCAGGGCTCTCTCCCCTAGGATATGCTGCAGGACCCTCGGTCATTTTGCCTGAGGCGTTCCTCGACCTAGCCAAGCAAGTACAGACCTCAGTGGGAATGATGCAAACGATCGTCCCGCTCATCCCATAGATGGTGCAGTTAGCAGCTTCCCCGACCGACCCAACACCGCAGAGGCCAAACAGGGAACAAGTTAGGACAAGAGAAGCCTGAGAGCATATTGCAACCCTAGGAAATCTTCCCGAGCAATGCGCGCTCGCACCTCGCCGAGCCGCTACATCCCTCCCCGAGCCCGACACTTTATCATCAGAGTCTATGGATGACTCATTCAGGCTCTAGCTATCTATGGTCAACCGTCGCCTAGACAAGTTCCAGCGCGAATTTCAGAAGTCACGCGGCGAGACAGGAGAAAGCGGCTCGGGTGGATCCTTATTCGCTTAGGAAATCCAGGACAAGCCTGTGCCGCTCAACTTCAGACTCCCGGTGTTGGAAACATACGATGGCGGCTCCGACCCCATGAAACATGTCGTCACATTTCAGGATCAAATGGCCCTTAACGGTACCTCCGGTGCCCTGATGTGTCGAGCATTCCCGACTACCTTCAAAGGACCGGCACGAGCATGGTTCAGCCGATTACGACCATCCTCGGTCTCCTTCTTTGATCATCTCGCAAGGGATTTTAAGCAAAACTTCCTAGCTAGCGTATAACCAAGGCCTTCCATGGCCACGCTGCTCGCGTTATCCCAACGCGAGGATGAATCACTTTCCCAATTTGTGGCGCACTTTATCGCTAAAATCCAGGGGTTCCCGGATGCTCATCCCTCTCTGATCATGCTAGCATTTTTTATGGGTCTGAGACCTTCGAGGTTTTTCTGATCATTAATCGAGAATCCGCCCGCAACCATCCCCGAGATGCTCTAACGCGCCAACCATTACATTGTCGCTGAGGCCCTAATGGTAGGGAGGAGTGAGGATAGCAAGATGCAAAGGATGGAACAAGCCCGAGGAACTACTTTGGCACCGCCAGTTTAACCCCGTAGGAGGCCCGATCGACCCGAGCAGCCACTCCCGAGGCCCCCGCCTCTACCTCTAAACATTTCTCGTACCGAGATCTTTCTCTAGATCAGGGACAAAGGCCCCTTGCGACAACCCAATCCCTTGAAGGCTACTCACAAGGATCGATCTAAATATTGTAGGTTCCACCGGGATTACGGCCATGATATAAAAGACTACCACGACCTCCGAAATCAGATTGAAGAGTTGATCCGGAGAGGTCACCTCGAGCGCTACCTTAAGGAACTAAGAGAAGCATCTCCGCATTTTAGGGGTCCCATCGAAAAATAAATCGACGTCATCACCGGCGAACCGATTGCTGGCGGTAGTAGCTCGACGGCGAGGAAGGCCTATGCTCGCAGCACGGTAGAGAAGCACCCTAGACCCGAGTTTGAGCCTGAAATCACATTCGGAACCAATGAGGTCGAACGCTCCCACCACGACGACGCTGTGGTAATCTCCATTCGGATTGCCAACGCTCAGGTGAAAAGAGTGATGGTCGACACCAAGAGCTCTGCCGACGTGTTGTACCTCGACGCCTTCAAGAAGATCGGCCTAACTAATGAGGACCTCACCCTCATGGCATCGGCGCTCATCGGATTTACTGGGGATTCCGTCTCCCTGCTCGGGACCACCATCCTCCCCGTTACCATCGGGGAAGAACCGAGAGCCAAGACGATGATGACTACCTTCATGGTAGTCGACCTTCCCTCGGCCTACAACGTCATCCTCGGCTGCCCGACACTCAACAAACTGAAAGCGATGGTTTCCACTTACCACCGGGCCATCAAAATTTTGACTTTAGTAGGGGTCGGGGTATCCCGAAGTGATCCTAGAGAATCAAGGCAGTGCTACCTTACATCGGTCACTCTTCCGGAGAAGTCGCGGCCCCAACAAGCCCCGAAACCCCGTAAGGAAGCCAGAACACCGACACACCTGGAGCCACCTGAACAACTCGCCGAGGTACTCTTGAAAAGGGACCGACTCGACATGACCGTGAAAGTCGGGATGACACTCCCTGAAGCAAACTAGCTCCAGCTCATCGATTTTCTGAAGAGAAATGCTGATATGTTCACATGGTCCTCAAAAGATATGCTGGGAATTGACCCGGGGGTGACCCAGCACCACCTCAACATCCATCCCGAGGCTCGACCGGTGAAACAGAAGCCGAGGAAGTTCACCCCCGACCGACAAAAGGCAATCAGTGACGAGGTCAATCACCTTAGAGAGGCCGGATTTATAATCGAGGTGAAATACCCCCAGTGGTTGCCAAATGTAGTCCTCGTTAAAAAACACAGTGGAAGCTGGAGGATGTGTGTTGACTACACCGATCTCAACCGAGCATACTCCAAAGATTGCTATCCATTCCCGATGATAGATCAACTGGTAGATGCCACCGCAGGCTATGAACTTCTTATATTCATGGATGCGTTCTCGGGCTATAACCAGATCAGGATGGCACCACAAGACTAAGAGCACACAACCTTCATTATCGACAGGGGAGTATATTGTTACAAAGTGATGCCTTTCGGCCTGAAAAATGCCAGGGCGATGTACCAAAGAATGGTCAATAAACTGTTCAAACAATTACTCGAGAGGAACATGGAGGTGTACGTAGATGATATGATCGTAAAAAGCAAATCGGCAAGCACACATCTGGCCAACCTAGAGGAGACATTCCGAACCCTCATGTGGTTCAACATGCGCTTGAATCATTCGAAGTGTGTATTCGGGGTCCGATCAGGGAAGTTCCTCAGGTTCGTCATCCACCAGAGAGGAATAGACACCAACCTGAAAAAGGTTCAAGCCATAACAGAGATGTAGCCTTCTTGCTCGATCAAAGAAGTGCAATGCCTCGCTGGACCGACAACTTCGCATGGACCTCAGAATGCGAGGAAGCCTTCGAAAAGCTGAAGGCATACCTTGCTCAATTGCCCTGACTCGCCTCACCCGAGCCGGGCAAGGTCCTCGGCCTATACCTTGTAGCCTCGGCATAAGCGGTCAGCTCGGTGTTAACCTGAGAGGCATCATCGGCACAGCAACCCATCTATTATGTCAGCCACGTTCTCGTCAGACCCGAGGTAGGATATTCCCCAATCAAGAGGCTGATCCTCGCATTGATGAAGATGACCTGAAAGCTGTGACCGTACTTCCAAGCCCACACGATCAAGGTGATAACCGACCAACCCCTGCAGCAAATCCTCTCAAAGTTTGATGCATCAGGTTGGATGCTACGGTGGTCAGTCGAGCTCGATGAGTTCGACATCCAATATGCCCTCATAACGGCCATTAAAGCCTAGGTATTGGCCGACTTCATCTCCGAACTAACCCCCGAAGATCATGTTGTTGGACAGGGACATAATGAGTGCACATGGACCCCATATGTGGATGGGTCGGCGACCACCGAGGGAGCAAGGGCCGAGCTCATCCTCAGGAGTCCGACCAGAGAAACTCATGAATGGGCGCTTCGGTTACGATTTAGGGCCACCAATAATGAGGCCGAATATGAGGCATTGCTCCACGGACTACGTCTCGCCCTGGAAATGTGTGTGGGCGACCTTGAGGCCTTCAACGACTCTCAGCTAGTGGTAGGACATGTCAAC